GGGGGGGGCTCTGCAACTTACCTGGCTGCTTCTTGCTCTGACTGAGGGCTGCTGGGAGCAGGGGGTGGGGCTTGTTGCATGTGCCCACCCCCTGGGCTCTTTACTGCCGGAGCTGCGCTCCTGCAGGAAATGACCCCTGTTTAAAATATTAAGATGGATATTAAATACAAATATTTCTGTGATCTTTGCAAGCAAAGTTAGTTATTTTTTAAAAAAATGTTCCTATGATCCTGTGATTTCTAAAAGAAGTGTATATTAGGATTCCCAGATTATGAATGTCAGGAAAATCACCCTATGTTAGAAATAATATGCATTTACATGCTTCAGAGAGAAAAAGAATGGACTGCATGACTGAATCAAAGTGGATTTTTCTAGTAATTATGCACAGCCATTGAAGGTCTGTGCACATAGCCCTTCAACATATTCTAGGTGTATTACAACAGACATGTGCAGCTTGATACCATATGCTGATGACTGCAGTTATCACTAAGTGCAAAATCTAATCAATTTTTACCAGGATCCAAACAACCAGCTTTCTGTGGTTTACAGATGCAAAGGGCTGACTTCCTACACCTAAGATATGCAAAGTGGTTGAATGGATAGGTTTTGACATTGCTATTACAACATTACTATTATTATATTTACATTATTTGGATTTATATTCCATTTCTGAGTCAAAAACACGGCCCTTGAAGGAATTAAAAGCATTAAAACAGCACTGACATAAAACTGTCAGCAAATGCTGCCATGCATTGGAATGTTCAGTCTAAGAATGTTTTCTCTTGCCTCCCCCACTCCTTCTCCTTCACTCTTGCTTATCTTGCAGGTGTCCTTGAGGCTAGAGGTGCTTCTTCCTGAGCTTCCTGCTGGAAGCCTAACAGCCGGGTGTTAGCCCGTGCTTAATAATGCTTGCTTATTGGCTTTGTAGCGTCAGGGGGTCTCTTTTGAAGGGGGTATATCCCAAAAGCCCCGTGCCTCTCCTGCCATTCCTGAAACAAGAGTTCGTGGTGTCTCAAGTACTTTCTCTCTCAATAAACTGAATCTTCTGAAGACCTGGTGTTGAGTGTGATTGACTGGGAACCCTGACAAAAAAAAACCCCTCAAGAACACAGCAGCTGCTGTGAGCAGCAACATATGACTAAATGCTATTTAAAACCAATAATTAAAAAAAGAATAGTTATGTGTAGACACATTCTGGAGAAGAGGAAGCTATCTCAAAGAGACTGGTTTTGGCCCTCCTTTGAACACAAAGAAAGCTGGCCACCTTGCCCACCCTAAGTAGGGAATTCAATAGAGGGGGAGCTACCACGAAGGCCCTCAGAACCAGTGTGGTGTAGAGGTGAGAGTGTCAGACTAGGATCAGGGAGACCCAGGTTCAGATCCTCACTCCAGCATGCAAGACGGCTTGGTAACCTTGGGCCACCATCCTAACCTACCCCCACAGTGTTGTTGCTAGGGTTGCCAGGTCCTATTTTCTCCCTGGGGGGGATTTGGGGGACATGCTGGGAGGGATCGTCCCGGACATGATGACATTACACAGAGTGACATCATCATGTCAGGAATGCAGCACCATGTGTGCATGTCCCCCCGCTTTCCCCCAACCACTTAAAGGGAAAGTGGGGACCACCAGTGCCTGCCCTGCAAGTGGCAAGTTTGCTGCTTGCAGGGCATGTACAAGTGACCCCTGCAACAAAAGAGTAAATGCTCCACATGCCTGCTCTGCAACCAGTGAGCTCGCTGCTTACAGGGCAAGTGTGGGCGGCCCCTGCTTTAAAAGAGTGGGTATCATGCATGCCTGCCCTGTAAGCGGTGAGCGGCCCCCACTTTAAAACAGCGGGCACCCCACATGTCTGCCCTGCAAGCAACGAGCTCGCTGCTCGCAGGGGAGGCATGCACGGCCCTCACCATGGACAACTGTTGGAGGTGGATCCCCCACACTCACCTGGGGACTGGCATTCCTAGTTGCTGCAAGGATAAAATGGAGGCTAAGAGAATGCTGTTAGCAGCTTTGGGTCCTCATTGGGGAGAAAGTCAGGGTATAATGTAGTAAATAAACCAATCAATAAACGAACATCTTGGTTAGGGAATTCACCAAGCAGTGAGGAGAAGGAAGAATTCTTGGTCATTCCCTAGGGTCCAGCAGCAAGTGCACATACTCTAGATATGTGGATAGGGAATCTGATGGCAGTATCTATATATCCAAGCAACTCTACGGTACCCTGACCTATACATTCTCTACTAGTACTGGGACAGGATATAGCTGCACCAGCACACAACCTCTTGCCCAGGTCATTCCACTAGTTTACACATTCATGTTTTAATCAAGATTTGAATTCATATACACAATGGAGCTTAAGCACATGAAAAATCATGGGATCATATATTCACTAGTTTTTTTAAAAAAATTACAATCCAAACAGATTAAACTTCAAATGCCATTTAAACATAATAAAACCCACAAAACTAGCAGTAACAACTATAAACAGCCTAAGCTGAAAAACCAACAGAAAAACCAGTAGGAACATAACATTCATTAGAAGGCCTGGGAGAATAACAGTATTTTTGCCTGGTGCCTAAAGCTCGGCAGGCTTGGTGCCAGGTGACTAATCACAGGAGGAGAATTCCAAATTCAAGGTGCTACAACTGAAAAGGCCTAGCCATAGGACTCCCCATTATTGCTCATTTTATGGGTAATTCAGCCATGTGTAATCTCTCCTTATATATAAAAGAGTTTTGGTGTGACTCCTGGACACGCTCCCACAGCCTTTAGCCCAGTCAGCTGCCCGTCTCGCGGACTCCCAATCCCCTGGCTGCACTGCCTTGCTGCATTGGCTCAGCCCCGCCCACAGAGCCAGTAGCCAGCATTTTGCTCTCAGTTTGGAGGTAGCTGGCAAAGGGTGGACGCTCTGCCAAGGGAGCAGGAACCCCTCCATGGGGGAGAAGGAGACAGACCTAGCAAGCAGCAGC